TTCTAAGAGCATGTTTTGGTCTGTCATAAATGCTGAGCGATCAAGATGAGATATTTCGACGTTGTCCCAGGTGGGACATCTACTGAGGCAACATAGGCTTGTCCAGGGGAGAAAATGTTTTCATCTAATACAAGAGATACTTTTGATAGGTCAGACCTTGGGTTTTGTGAACGGTAAGGGCAAAGGCGTTTTGGAGTGGGAATTGTGTACGATGACAATTGGTTCTATATAATTCAAAATAGTGGGTTTGTTTGTAAATGGTTGTGTCGATGATAAAACCTCTGATTGAAAATGCAACACAAACAGATTGGTTTGTAAGGTTAATATCGGTGATGATTCCTATGATGCCATTGCATATTTCTTGTTTGATTAGTGAGTTGTTAAGGTACATGACACGTGCGCCTGGTTGTAATCTAACAGAAGAAGGTGGGTTGGTTTTGTTCTTAAAAATACGTTCTGAAGAAGGGTCCCATTGTGCAAAATCTATAACATCAGTAGATTGGGAAATTAGGAATTTTCCATCAAGTACAGGAAGCATATTACAGACTATTCTGTTAATCTGTTGGACGGTTTCTCTAAAACCTACGATGTTAGTGGTGTTGAAGAAGATGTCAGTTGCAGGACGTGTTAGGAATTCTGAATGTCTTCGTTCAAGGATTCGCTATGTTTCGGGTGTAATATTGCCTGTTCAGACTTCTTGTAACATTTGGTAAAATCTGCTATCAGCTTGTTGGCGTTGTGATGTACTTAAGAATAAGGGTAAAATAGGGTCTAAGTGGTTACACAAAATACTGGTTGAGCGTTGATAGAAGGTAATTGTGCAAGGTTGCCAACGACTATAACATTTATACTTCCAAATGTGATAGCATTATTTTTAAGGATTGCGAATATATTTGATATGAAATCGAGAAGTTTATCAGATACCATTGATATTTCGTCTATGATTATAATATCAATTTTTTTTAGGAAATCACTTAGTTCTTTATTTACGTAGGCTCGTATACTAAGATTTCCTTTGGTAGATGTAATTTGTAATATGAAATGGATAGTCTTCCCTCCTATATTTTGGACAGCAACTCCAGTTGGTGCTAGTAAGAGGTAATTTGATTTGTTGTTTTTAAGGGTATTTATTATTAGATTAATGACGTAAGATTTTCCAGTTCCTGCTGAGCCGGTAATGAAGTAGTATAGCCATTTTATACTATTATTTTTGCCCATGTATGAAGTAATGATTGATAGGACATAATATTGGTCTTCTGGTAATCCAAGTATTTTAGTTTCTGGAAATATGTGAGGGAATGTCTTAATGCTTTCTAATTGTAATCGTATTATATTGTAGATGTTGGCGGGGATCTTTTCGCGTAATTTATGTAATAGTCTATTTAAGATTTTGGCAAATTGGTTATTTAGGCGTATGATACGTGATTGGTGTATATTGCGGTTTGATTTTGTAGGTTGGTGTGGAAATTGGGAAATAATGATAAAAATTTTTCTCATTTGGTCTGTTTTTATAGTCAGATTCGTTTTTTGCAGGAACGGTTAAGAGTAATTTTTGGTAGAAGTATAGTTCAACGTCTTTGAGTTTAAGAAAGCGATATCTGGTAATTATTTGTTTTAAGCGTTTTATAACATAATTGTTAAGGTCGTCACAGAATATTTTTTGGGAGGTTGTGGGTCTTAAGGGAGTGATCGTGTATCTTTTGAAATATTGTGAATAGGTGAGATTTTCAAATTGAGGGAAATGGAATCGAGACATATATTTTGTAATTGTGTTATCGTAATATGGGTGTTGATCATCTTCATCTATCATGTAAGTAAAAAGGATTGTGTGAGTTCTAGTATTTGGAGGTTCAGTTGTGAGAAATTTTACTGTAGCAGAGGAACTGCAAATTTGGTATCCTAGGAATAAAAATATCAATTCTATTGAACTGATTCTTTTTGTAATAATGTGTTCTCTTAATGTGTCGCCATCTTGGATATTGAAGATATGGGAAGGTTCTCTTTTTACGATTTATTTTATCATGTATTGCGCAAAGCTTCTATTTGTTATGTATTAGGCGTTCATGTGAGCGTCCTATAATAGAAGAATAGCAGGGTGGTACAGGATTACCCAAGAGTCTGCTTCAATTAGACATTTATATACGTATCAATAGTTTCCTTCTTCGTAATGAGTTGTTTTGCTATATGGACGGAGGAAACCTTTTTTGCAGGTTTGACCTGATGGTGCTGGACCTTGACATTTTTGATTACATGTATGTATTTGGTTAGCTATTACAGCTGCGTATAGTTCAGGTTCATATAAGGAGTCAGGAAGTGTTGAACGGATTACTTCATTTGTGATTATTGTGTTTATAGAGTTTGTGGTCCAGTAGCAACTATGTGTATGGGCTGCGCCTCTATTTTGAAATTTGACTCTATCGAAAAAGTCAGTAATTTTATCAAATCCTGTAAGTTCCAGTTTTTTGTATAGTTCTTTTTTTAGTGATTTGAACCTGTGAATGAAGTAATTTGTGTAATGGTAGGGTCTATTTGTGGGTAGTGTATCGTTATTATCAGTATTAGAGAGTATGTGATGAAGGTGGATCCAATGACTTTTGGCCATACTCAAGGTGATGAATAATGTTGGTAGGCTGATGTTTTTTATCATTGCGTTAAGGTGTAGTTGTTTTTGGTGAAAGTAGGTATCACCTGTGTATATAAAACTTGGAAGGGGATTCATGATGGTTTCATTTATTTTGTAATATTAGTTGTAGTTGCTAGGTTGGAGGAGCTGTCTAGCAGTAGGGAGGTTGATGTTGTTTGAGTTGAGGTTGGCTTGTCTTAAGAGGCGTTGGATATTTTAGTGGTGTTTCAATTTTTCTAATTGTAAGTATGACCAATGTGACCAGTGATAGTGAAGTCTCCATCTTGGATCGTAATTCATCAGGCATTGTTTGATGTATTTTTCGTAAGTTTCTTCTCGCATTTCATCGTTTGAGGAGGTAGATTGGATCATTATGTCATGAAAGTGATCTCTTCCATCTGTAAATAAGTCTGGGAAGAGTAGAGGTTTTAAGTTTGGGTCATAGTTTGAAATAGGTATACGTAGAGTTTTGCTTTTTTGAACAAATCTAGCCATCAATCTTGTGTAATGGAAGTCTTCGTTGTGGACTTCATCAGGAAAATCATAGTTAAGAACTATTATATCATGAGGGTTTACGGGAGGTGCATTTGTATCTGTTGGGATGTGAGTAACTCTCGGAAAAGGTTGATTGAGGGTTTATTAGTATCTATCAGGTGAAGTTAGTATGTTAGCAAAAGGGTGAAGGTAAGGGTTATTCTGAGATAACCAATTAGTGGCTCGTTATAGGGTTTCGTCATGAATGGGGTTATTGTTATTCGTGGAATGATTGGGGTCGTTCGATTCTAAGAATGCGTCTAGGATTCTGGAGTATAATGTGTGGGCTCTAATGTTATACGAGTAATTCATGGTACCAGTTAAACATCTGTATTCAGAGTAAGGGTTGCTGTTGGGGTTCTACCTAAGAAGCAGTGTAGATATATTGGTGATAGATAATTTCTTTTATGTAAAGGGACAGATACAATTTCTTGTGGCATGGAGAAAAGGTAAGGAAATAGGAATCTGGTAGAGGGTTTCTTGCAGGATTTGCAGGTGGAAATTCTTAGTTCAGTGATACGGTCGGTGTTGAGGTTGAAGGATAGGATAATGTTAGGGAAGTATTGTTGTATGGGATAGATGATTGACGAGTTGTGGAGTATTTATTCTGCTTTTTTGGAGTATAAAAGCTTTCCACAATAGATGCAGATGATTTGAGGCCATTGTTTTAGGATATCGTTTTGAAATCTGTCATATAGTTTTTATAATTTCGATAAGGGTCTTCAGTATGATAATTGTCTTGGTGGTTGGTAAGTGTTGTTCAGTTGTAGATCGTTTGAAGGAGTTTCTAGTAAGGTATTATGGGAGATGTCCGTATTATATGATGGAAGATCAGGGGTTCTCTAATTTAATGTAGTTTCGTGTTTGTTATCAAAATGTAGATGGTATTGATATGGTGGGTCATAGTAAGGGGTAAGGTTATAGTTTGTTCAGGGTAAATTTTTAAGATAGGGAGGGTAAGTGTGATAGAGGTTTGACAGATTTATTTTGGGATTTTAGATTATATATTTTTAGTTGAGGTTTCAGTCAATTTTTTAGAAGATTTTTAGTAGATTTTTAGTAGATCAGTAGGATCAGTAGGATTAAAGGAATGTGTTATCACGAAGGTATGCGATCGTGAGGGATTGGGCAAGTTAAATACTTTTTTTTTTTTTTTATAGTGGGCTAGTTGATTTGTGATTACGCATGAAATCGAGGTTGTTATGCAATATTCAGTTAATCCAATTTTTTTATTGTTTAAAAAAAAAAAAAAGTTTAAAAATTTTTAATTTTAAAGTTTTGATTTTATTTATTAGACTTTTCTCTTTTATTTTGATTATTTAGGTATGTTAGGAGTTTATTATTGATGCGATTTTCTTTGTTTTGGTTTAATTAATTTAATAGGTTGATTTATTTATTTTTTTTTTTTACTTTTAATTGAGAACATCGAGAAAATCATGGTTCAGGATTACAGTAAAGTAAATGTTAGTTTTTTTTTTAGTTAGACATTACTATGTATATAGTTTTCATTTAGTATCATTGTTTGTATTATGACATTTTAATAAAATTTATTTTGTTATCGTATCTTTTGCAATGAAAGGTTTATTTACATATAGGAGTTTTCTTTTTGATTGGTTACATGATATTCTTAAAAAATGCAGAAAAGAATTAAGAGATAAAAAATATATGAAAAAAAAATAAAAAAAAAAGTAAGGATAAAAAAATAATAAAAAAAATGAAAAAAAGAAGTAAAAAAGAAAGTAAAAAATTGTTCAAGTATATATTTAGTTGAGTTGGAGTGTATGTGTCTTCTTTTACGGTTGAATAGAAAGAAAATTTTCTTCTTGATGTTTAATTAATTTTGTTAAACTTCTAGAAGTGTGTTGTTATTGCTTTTAGATGAGCTTGTTAGAAAATTAGGGGGAAGCGGGTTTGCGTTCAACGTAACTGTAAGGTCTGTAGTCAGATCTGTTGATGTGGCCTCCATCTGAGACAAGGTTTGTCGACCTTTTTTGGGTTTTCTGGTATTGGTTGATTTTGGAGTGGGGCTCGTTCTGCCGTTGGTTTCAAAACTGCTGTTGTTATACCACAAGAGGTTTAACAGTCAAGTATTTATACGGGATTGAGTTACGGAGATCAAGGATATGTTTTCTAATTTTAGGACATGTTTTTCTGATGTTAGTTCCTCTCCAGTAAAAGGATCTTTGGTAGGTTCTTCATAGTGTATATTACCCACTAGAATGGCTGTGGTAAATCTAATATTATTTGTGGAATTGATGGAGGAAGTTTTGTTAGCGAGGTAGTTATTCGTCAGGCTGTGTCTGACTTCCAAGTGAAAATTACAGGGTTCTCTTTCTCTGAGGTGCTCTTCTACGTAAAAATCTATTACAGATTTTTTGTTTACATTTCTGACAACTTGAGTAGTGATGCCCGAAAGCATTACGTTGATTCCTGTGATAGGCATTTTATCATATTTTATATTTTTGATTGGTTTAATTGCGGTGGCATTTACCTTAAATATGGGATGATTTTTTTGAGTTTTTTTTTCGATTTGGGGTAAATACGGTATGAAAGATATGAAAAAAGGCATACTTGATACCAGTTCAGAAATCTGATAAACTTTTCTTTTAGGTATACTATATCACCAGTTTCAAAGGGGTGGATATTATATTCGGCTAAATCGTCTAGGAAGATGAACGCTTTTACTCTTAAGTATGCGATTATTTTAGGATCTTTTTTATCCATTTTGGTAACTGCAGTCATTTCATTCAAAGTGTAATCTTTGGTCATCCTTTCAGAGTACTCGTAAATGTAACAAATAGTTTCTAGTTTAGAAGGCATTCTTTGATTTTTGTGATTTTTGTGGAGTTTGTTAGTTTTCTTTTTATTTTTTTAGAGAGAAGAAAAGTTTTTTTTTTTTTTACAAGTTAAAGTGCATGTATATGTGTGTATATATACATTGTATACAACTTTTTTTTTTCTTAATCACATTATCGAATTTTCACATAGATGGTGCAAATTTTGGAAAAAAAGAAAAAAATTTTTTTCTTTCTACTTTGTGGTAGAATTTTTGAAAAGGTAAGCAGTAGTTCAAAAAGAAAGACAGGATATATATAGTTTTCTATAGGAAGAAATAAACAATATGGGTTTCGTAGATAAACAGAATGGGCTTAGCAAATAAACAAATATTGGGCTTTGTAGATAATTATAGAATTCAATTGATTTGGAAATTTATGTAATACAGATAAGGTTTTTTTTCCTATCAAACGAATTTGAATCAAGGTAAAAAAAAAAATGAAAAATGATCGAATGGTAAATACAGAAATTTAAAAGAAGTTTAAGAAAGATAAAGGAATTTAATTTTTTGAATTAATCTATTTTATTAAAAGTTATTTCAAATTTGTTTTTGGGAAGTGGATTGAAAAAAAGATAAGTACTGTAAAACTATGACATGGAACAGAAAATCAGAGGGATTTTTTTTCTGAATTCAGAGGAGTAAATCTGACTAAAAAAGAATAAACGTTGCAAGTGTTTTGATGATCTTTTTCTAGGGACTTTGCGGGAATGAAATAATAAGATGGATGATCATTCCTAAAAAGAAAAGCTTATCATAAGACAGTAATAAGACAGAAAGATTACAAATAAGGAAAAATATAGCCTCCCTTTCTATACTACGTTAATAAAATCCTATTCCTTAAAAAATTGATCGATGTCCAATTCGAAATTAATTAATATAAAATTAATAGATAAGTTACCGTAGTAAAAATTTTTACTTAGTAATTTACAATCGTAACATCTGCTTAGTAATTTATCAATATAAGAAAGATTTAAAATCGTAAACTGTAAACTAAACCTTCCTTTCTTTTCTTTTTCTTTTATGTATTTATCTAACTAGGAAATTTGGAATCTTTGTCATATACCTTGTATTGCTAGCAAAAATAAGGAAAATCACTGCTATAAGTTTCCTTCTAGTACTCAATTTTACAATATATCTTCTATTCTTCTAGAGTTGACTTCCAAAATGCCAATAACACTACACCTTTACCAAAAAGGGTTCTAACTTATGAACTATCAGTGACATCAAATCAGGAATTAACTTCAAACACAAAGAACTGCAAATCCTACTGAAACAATCACAAAGGAGTAGTATTCTAGGACATATTACCATATAGCGCTGATATTAGTATCAGGTACTATTCAAGCAAATCTAAGCTAAATTTTAAATAGTACCTGGAGGTACTATATTCAGAGAAAAGTACTACATAAGGGGGATATTACACAATGGGAATACAGTAAAAGGGAGATATTAATCATAATTGTTGATCATCTTTTTTTACTTTCAAATTTTTAAATTTTTAACATTTCTTTGAAATAAAACTATAATATGTTATATGATATGAATGACACGAATTTCGCGAATGATGCAAATTTCGCAAATAATGCGATCAGAATTTTATTTATTTTAATTTTGGTCTTTTTTTTTCGACTTTAAACCTTTTTTTTGATTTTTTTTTTTGTCTTTATAATCATAACATAAATTTGCTATTTCTTTACAACTTTGTCATAAGTAATATGGGTCTGCGTGCAAATAAAAATACCAACTATACAAGAATATCAAAAAAAATACGAAGAGTATAGAATGTAAGAGAAAAACTTGCTGTTGTTATGTATCATGAAAAGGGACATAGTAAAAATGGAACAGCAGTTAAATTTAATATTGAAACCAAACAAGTTCGCGACTGGGTATCTAAAAAAGAACAATTTATGAAAGCACGACCTAGTTTAAAACGTTTAAATAAAGGTAAACCTCCAAAATATCCAGCTTTAGAGGTAGCTTTAGTTGAGTGGATAAAGGAAAGAAGAAATAACCAGCAAGCAGTTTCTCGAAATATAATTCAAGTAAAAGCAAAAACTTTAGCACAACAACCACAATGGCAAGCATCCTGTCCTAATGTACAATCTTTTGCTTTTAGTAACAAATGGTTGGATGGTTTAATGAGCCATAACAACTTAAGTAATCATCGTCGTATTACCATCGCTTAGCATTTACCAAACAATTTATATGAAAAACAACAAGAATTTTTAGCATTTGTTATGTATAGGCGAATACAACATGATTATCCCTTAGCATTTATTGGTAATATGGATGAAACTCCATTGACATTTGATTTACCAAAAAATACCACTGTTGATGAAATGAAAGCAAAAACTATTAGTATTCGTATAACAGGTCATGAAAAAACTAATTTTACAGTAGTTTTAACTTGTATGGCAGATGGAACTAAACTTCCTCCTCTTGTAATTTTTAAACTTAAAAAAATTCCAAAAGGAAATTTTCCACAAGAAGTTATTGTTTGTGCTAATTCAACTGGATGGATGAATGAAAATGAAATGTTATATTGGATTGAAAATGTTTGGATTAAACGTGCTGAAAGATTTTTTAATCCACAATCATTATTAGTTTTAGATTCATTTTTAGTACATATTGTTAATTCTGTTAAAAGGCGTTTTGGAGAAAAAAATACTAATATTGCTGTTATTCCTGAAGGATTAACATTTCAATTACAATCTTTAGATATTTCAATCAATAAATCATTTAAATAAAAGGTAAGATTTATTAATTTTATTAAATATTTTATTTTTATTTTATTTATTTTATTTTTGTATTTAATTTTAATTATATTTATAAATTTATTTCTTATAGATGAGAAATAAATATAATAAATGGATGTCTGAATCTTTAAAAGAATTAACCTCTGCTGGTAGAATCAAAAGACCATCTTATAAAACTGTTGTAAATTGATTAATATATCATGAAACGCAGTTGATATTAGTTTAATCCAAAGATCTTTTAAATGCTGTGACATTTCTAACAAACGTAATGGAATAGAAGATGATTGGATTTTTAATTATAAATATCTTGAACAAGCAAAATCAAATAATGAAGTAAAAATTTTAGATGATATTAATAAAAATGATAGAAGTAATGATATTAATGATAATCATTATGAGGAGGGAGATTATGATAATGAATGGATTTAAATAATAATCATGTATACTTAATAAATAATGACATTTAATATTAATAAAATATAAAATATAATAATAAATTTTGATTTTTATGTTTAATATATTACAATCGATCAAATTGATCGATATCGTTATAATAAATTTGATCAGTATTATTGTAGTAAATTTAATCGATATGTTTATCAATTTAATTGATTAATTTATTAGTACCCCAATATTAATCAAAAATTTTATTTTTGATGATTGAATAGTATCTGTTACTATTCAAGGGGGATATTTTGCAAAGGGGTACTAATGTCAGTACTATACGGTAGGTAGAAAATTGTATTATGATATAATTTATTTATTCGATGAGGAGTTCATGTAACATGTTATAAAATTTGACACAGTAAATGTTACATTTATTTTTTGAGTAAATTTTAGCATTATATATAACTAAGCTGTATATTAGTAATCAGTTATCTCTGGCTAATGGTAATTATTAGTAAGAAATATAGCATAAATACCACTTAAAAGCAAACAAATTAAAATTGAATCTGAAAGTACACATCAAAACGTAACATAGAAACCAAATTATCATTACTTTTTTTTAAACACTTCTTTTTTTTCAAACTATTCTTCTTCTTTATAACAGATGCAACAGGGGTATAATATTCATTTGGTGATTCTGAAAAAAAAAGAAACTAATTATAAAAATTAAAAATTAAGATAAAAAATGAACAAAATCTTCACATATCATTCGTATTTATCACAACTTCATTGAATTTAATAATAGACCTATCAAAATCTAAACCTCATACTGGACGGTTATTCTTTGTTGCTTTATTACAATAATCCCTAAGCAGCAACAAAGCATAATTCATTGATTCCCATATAAACACATGACTGTAGCAGTTCAGAAAAATAATTTCAACATAAATTTTTCCGATGATGATGATATGATCAAAATCATAATATTCTTTAATATTTTCCATATAACAAATACAACTAGAAGGTTCTCCACCTTCAAATTTACAGTTAAGAGACTCTGCAACACATTTACAATCTAATTTATTTGCAATCATTTCAACAATCATTAGCGGATTCCTTAAATTATTGCTAACTTCTTGATATTCATCCTGCTTCTCACCCTTGACACAAGGGACATTGTCTTCGAAATTCTCTCTCTGACACATTGAATGTCTGGGACCATAAGATGACACGGTGTTTTCGGTTCTTCTTTAGTCTATGCATGACCCATCAAGGTACCATTTCAGTGCAATTTCCACAAGTATGATAATAACAAGCGGATTCTCTTCTTATTTGGGCAACATTTAAATGGCACTACTTTAGTATCAGTATAGATTTTATCCTCAACAATGCTATTAACTGGTTGTTCTTTTCTGATGTGCAAATTGAACTTCTGAATATAAATTTTATATTCTTTCCCTTTTCTGCCACTGAAATAGTTACATTTATTGTTAATGGGTGATACACTTTTCTCATATTCATCATCGTAATTTGTTAGCCAAGATAACTAGCATCCTGCAGAGATACTTTTTTTGGTCTTGAAACTCCATTTCCACAAAAGCATTCATCTTCATAATGTAGATTGTCCAAAGAAGGGCTACTGCGTCCTATATAGTTATAATCAAAATTGGTTGATAGTAAGACAGCTTTATCAGCCTTCCCTGGATACTAAACAGAGTATATACTGAGATCTTCTATCTTAGATTTCATAAAAATTTTTTGTTAACTATACCTATATTCAAAATAGTGTAAAGAATAAATACCTAAAGGATTCTACGAACTCTCCTATCAATTGTTTCGTCTATTTTTCTTTATTTAAATTTTCTAATCAGTCCCAAGCTTATAAACTTGAAAATAGTAATAACTGTTAGTACAAATAGCAAAATGTGACTATACTAGCTTTTAAACCTACTTTTATTACTCAAAAATATCTACCTGACGCAGTAATGTGATGCAGAAAATGATAAAATGCATTTATTACCTGATACAAAATCAGAAAATTTTGTTTCAGTTTGTTTTCTAATTTTTTCTTTAACGAGAGCATTAGCTCCATTCTTACCATAGCTGGGTTTTAACTCCTTGTATCGCAAATACAAAGATTTTCCAAAGTTAAAATATCAATTGATAACTTTTTCGTTGCATTCTCACTTTTTGCTGCGGCTTGATCTATCATATTTGAGAGATGAAATAATTAGTTAGATTCATTTCCTCCAAAACTCCATTATTGGAATTATTGATTAATAACTCTTTGATAAGTTTTTTCAGCATTACTGTTAAATAATGTGACAGCTTTTGTTGATTATTGATACAATTGTAATGCACAACATGTTTATAGGGTAAAAATACAGTCAGTTTCGAGAAAAATCTAGGCAAGATCAAAAGTCTCTTCAAAACATTTGGCGCATGTTAAATGGCTTTCGATAGATGTTAATTCATTTTTTTAGATGAATTCCTTTGGAATTGTATCACTTGAATCATAAATGTTTAGTGTTTAAAATATTTTAGTAAATTTTCTAATTCTATATTTCCAAAATATAATAATTCATAAGAATCTCTTGGCTATTCATGAGGATTTAATATTTTTATTGAAGTAAATAATTGTCAATTAAAAAATCTTTGCTAAAGTTCATTGATAATATTTGTTAAATAATTATATATGTTGTCACTGTGAAATTCTTCAACTCAGGGTAGTCATATTATCAAGTCTCTACTCAAAATTTCTAACTACAGTTTACTGCAGTTAAGACGTTAAGATCTGCCTAATTCTTAATTTTACCAAATTTACATATTGGACTTAAACAAATCTATCAAGTATGAAGACTTGAAAGACGAAATTATGAACAATTTAGTTAAAGAATTCAGATGATGAACTTAATTACAAATAATGTATAGGGATCACGTCAAATTATATAAAGACACAAAGAGGTAGAAAGATATAAGTTTTAAATGATTCCTTTATTAATATTGAAACTTGTACTTGCAAAAGAGTTTACAAATCTGCAAAAAAGTTAATTTACAACATAAGCAAAAAGTCTATCTATTTATACAAAATTTTTTTTGTTATGACTAACTAATTACTATGCTATAAACTAACTAATTTAGTAAAATAAAATATAAGTAAAGTAAATATATTGAGAACAATAAAAATACATAAAATAATAAAAATATAAATATAATAAAAATAATAATAAAATTTAGAATATTAATAATAAGTATAACATTAAATATTCTTAGACTTCATTTAATTTGTAAAATTAGGATTATCATCAGTATTTGAAAGATCTTCAGAATTACATAGATTCTCTGTATTTTCAGAATTCGCAGAATTCTCAGTATTTTCAGAATTTTAGATTAGAAGATCATCATACTGCATCATTTACGTGACTTCATTATAATTGGTCAATTACTCTGTTAACAATATCTATTATAAAATTCTCATAATTTCATTAAAAACAAAGATTGTAATCTATGTATATTATCAAAAAATTGCTAAATAGATTTGTTCTATCAATGAATAATTGAATATTTTGATTGAATCTTTGATGATATTGATCAATTTGAATATACTCCTTTTGAATGAAATTAATAGTAGCTTATATTATAGGATCTATATCAGATATTTTGTAAAAATTTGCTTAATTGCATTACATTAGAGATGTATCCTAATGAGATCCATTCAATCTGTTATCTGATCTGATCAAAAAATAAATCATCTGGATTATGAATAAATAGATTACAAATAATCTGAATGAATCTAATGAATAATGTCAGATTGATCAAATATTATATGAATGATCAGATTGATCAGATAATCTAATCTAATTCTATTATTTTTTTATTATATTGCTTTTTTTAAAAAAATAAACTTATTTTTTTTCTTTAGAAATGGACATGAACATGGATTTGAACTTTAAAATTTACTTGGATAGCTTGAATTGAAAGGTAAGTTGAAATAGAAGCTAAATTTGATTTTTTTAAAATATTACTAATATTTCTTTTCTTTCTTTTCTTTAGAAGATGATAATCTGAACTTAAATTTCAGTTTGAGTTATAAAGATAAGTTAGGAAAAATGATTTTTGTTATTCTTTATTATTGGAAATATTATTAATATTCTTTTGTTTTTTTTTTTTAAGAAATGTCTTTTTGAATCTAGATTTCAACTTGGACTATAAAGGTAAGTTAATGTGAGAATTATTTTTATTTTTTCATTAACTTTAAAATATCATAATATTCCTTTTATTTCTTTTTTTTAAGAATGTTATCTAAACCTGAATTTTAGTTTGGACTATAAAGTAAGTTAAATATAAATATTTTTTATTTTCTTTAATTTTAGAATAATATTAATATTTTTTTTACTTCTTTTCTTTAAAAGACACTTTCTAGACTTAGATTTCAGCTTTGACTATAAAAGTAAGTTAGCGTAAAAGATTATTTTTATTTTTCTTTGACTTTAGAATGCTATTAACATTTTTTTTTACTTTTTTTCTTTAAAAAACGCTTTTTAAATCTGAATTTCAACTTGGGTTATAAAGATAAGTTAATGTAGGAGATTGTTTTTATTTTTTCTTTAACTTTAAAATATTATTAACATTCCTTTTACTTCTTTTTTTTAGGAAATGCTACCTGAACTTAAATTTTAGCTTAGATTATAAAAATAAGTTATGTATGGATTTTTTTATTTTTTTTTTGATTTTTGCTTCTTTTTTTTAGAAGATATCTGGTTTTTAGCTTGAATTATAAAAGATAAATTGAAAGGTTTATTTTTTATTTTTTATTTTTTTATCTTTAAAAAATTAGATATTTCTTTTCTTTTTTTTTTTAGAGTACTTTTCTGGATCTGAATATTAACTTGAATTTTGAATTGTAAGATGAAAAGAAAAAATTTTATTTATTTCTTTTTATTTAAACTTTTGCTTTTTTTTTAAAAAATAGAAATTTTTAAAATTATAAGTTTTAGGTTTATAATAAGTTTTATAATTTTAATAAAATAACAATTTATTTATAATAAATTATATAAATGATTAATTTAAAATATAAATAATTATTCATAAATACTTTTAATTTTAATTGTATTTTTTTAAAAATATTATATGTTGAAAAAATTTTAAATTCATTCTAGATTTTTTTGCTAAAAATAAATTTTCTGTATCAGAAAATAACTTTTCTAATAGTATTAATAATGCAAAAATAGCTAAATAAATTCTTGCCATTTAGCAAAAATTAGATATTTATTTTATTATTTAATCATCAATTAAATAGACATTAATTAAAAGGAATCTTATCTTCTTTTAAATATTCTTCAATACATTTGGTTAATTTTGTTCAAATATTAAAAAAAGCCTAGATTTATAAATTAGATTTAAGATTATTGATAATTCAAATAAATTGAAGATGAGGATTGAGATTCATTAGAAATTGATAAATAATTTTTCTTATATTCTTCATATTTTTACGTAAAATTTCTTTTTCTTCTGTTTTATTATTTATAGACTTAATTTTAGAATCAAATATTATTGATATTAAGTAATCTTTAAATAAAATTTTTCAATAAAAATATATAGCATTATAAAGAACTTTTTTTACTTTATTAAAAAGATCTTTAGTTTTTAATAGTTTATTCAAATTAAATTTGTTTTTTTTTATTTGATTATTATTATGATTTTCTAATATCTTTACTTCTTTTATCATAATAAATACATCAGCAGTATTTTCAATTCTTGATATATTTCTGATATATTACAGGTAATATAAATAATATAGGTAATATAGATAATATAAATATAGATGAATTAGGTAAATTAGATAATGGTAAAGTAAGGATAGTGATATATATTACCTAATATCGATTTATTATAAGCATCTACCAATCCAGGTAAGATATTCTGATCATGTGAATATAGATCATTTTTCTTTTATAGAATTCATATATCAGTTATTAATAAAATATACTATTATAATACATAAAGTTAATAAATTAAATATTTTATTATAAATTAAGTGGCTTATTTTCACAATATAAAAATAATTTAAATAATTAATAAACATAAATTATAAAATTAAAATCTTTACTACATCAACTTTATTTTATAATTTTTTTTAAATTTCTTTTAATATTTGACTTTATTTGATCTTAAAAAAAATCAATTAGTTTTTTGCTCTTAAAAC